CCTCAGACTATTTGCACTCGTCTACGGCCCACCTCGATCTAAGGATTTCATAAATAAGTTTTCTGACTTCTTGGCTGAAATCACACCAAAATATAATCATGTTTTCATTATTGGGGACTTTAATTTGCACGTGTGCTGTCCTGAGAAGCACTTGGTTAAGGACTTTTTAGATTTATTGGACTCATTTAATTTAACTCAGCATGTAAACGGTCCCACCCAAGAGCGTGGACATACACTGGACCTTGTTTTAACTCATGATGTGACTGTTAATAATCTTGTTATTGGTGATAATGTTTTTTCAGACCACATGCCAGTCCGGTTTGAGTTCACCCTCCCCCATCTAACTCCTAAGTCGTGCATTCCTGAACGTAGGACCCGGACCATTAACCACTTCATTGCTGCACGTTCCACAGATGTTTATAACTCTGAAATGATAATTCAGGCCCCAGTGTTTCTCACCACCACTGAGGAGCTGACATCCCAGTTCAACTCTGTCTGCTTAAAGACTCTGGATCATGTTGCACCTGTTAAAACTAGAAAATCAAAACTGAGAGCAGAACCGTGGCTGAGTGACATCACCAAGACCGTTGGGCAGCAATGTAGGAGGGCGGAGCGAAAGTGGAGGAAAGACAGGCTGCAGGTCTCTTTTCAAATACTTAAAGAGAGTTGGTGCTGTTATCAGAAAACAGTAAAAGCTGCTAAATCCAAATACTTCTCTGATATAATTACCTCAAACTCTCACAACCCACGTGTCCTCTTCTCTACCCTAAACTCTGTTCTCCACCTCACTGAACCATCACCTCTGGAAGCCTCGACTGAGCTGTGCGACAACTTCTTACATTTCTTTGTGGAAAAAATTGCGACCACCAGGGCTCTCATTTCCCCTCCAACTCATGACCCATCCATCCCACCTCAATCTGTAGCTCCTTTTGACCATTTTGAACCCATCACTCTATCTTCTCTAGAGCAGGTCATGTGCAGCTTGAAACCTTCTGGCTCCCCCTTTGATGTGGTCCCCCCTCGACTACTAAAGGAGGTGTTTCCAACTCTAGGTCCATCCATTCTTGCCATAGTAAACAGTAGTTTATCCACTGGCGTGGTGCCAAAATCCTTTAAACATGTTGCTGTCCAGCCTCTCCTGAAAAAACCAAACCTTGACCCCTCAGTCGTTTCCAACTACTGGCCTGTCTCCAAACTCCCATTTGTTTTTAAAGTACTGGAGAAAATAGCTGAGTTCCAGTTGAAGTGCTTCCTGGAGGATCACGCCATCTTAGAGCTTTTCCAATCTGGCTTTAAACTTCTCCACAGCACTGAAACTGCCCTGCTGAAGGTCTTTAACAACATCTTCAGATCCACAGATACTGGTGATTCTGTGCTGCTTGTCCTGTTGGACCTCACAGCCGCCTTTGACACCATCGACCATGAGATCCTCATTGCTAGGTTGGAGCAGTGGGTGGGTGTCACAGGATCAGCCCTCATTTGGTTCAGATCTTACCTCGCTGACAGATCCTTTTGTGTCTCCATCAAGGATTTTAGTTCCGCAGAGGCAGAGCTTAAATGGGGGGTTCCACAGGGGTCCATCCTGGGTCCCCTCCTATTCTCTTTATACCTGCTGCCGCTTGGTGCTATTTTCCGGAAACACAACATTCCCTTCCACTTCTATGCCGATGACTGTCAAATGTACTTCCCCCTAAGACACAATGGCACATGCTCTATTCAACCGCTGCTCAACTGCCTGGCTGACATCAGGGACTGGATGGCTTTAAATTTCTTGAGCTTCAATGAAAATATGTCTGAAGTCATGTTGTTCCCTCCCAACGACACGATCACAAACCACTGCATCGATCTCACTAATCTGGGCGTGATAATGGACCCTTCCCTGAAGCTTAACAATCATGTAAACATGATTGTTAAATCCTGTTTCTTCCAACTGAGGCGGCTGTCTAAACTGAAGCCCATATTGTCCAAAAATAACCTGGAAACAGTAATACATGTGTAGTGAACTAGGCCTGAGGTCAAATCCTGACCTTAAGGACCTTATGGGACAGAAACTGTCATTTCATTGATTTGAATCCAGAAATACAGGTTGACCCATCCTGAGACTTTCTTTCTTGAATTGATCAAGTGAAAGAACACTACTTTCTATTTTCATTACTATTTTACAAATGTTTGATAATCAAAGTGTGTTTAGTTCAAACCATTTTTAAATGTTGAAGTGAACTACTCATTTTTAATTAACTGTGAAACAGTATTAGTGATTTTTAATCCTCATGCAAAGTAGAAATCATGTTAAGGTCTGTTACAGAGTAATTATGCATTTTCTGATTTTCTGTCTTTGAATGAGCAAGTGTAAGTTGGTCCAAGGTTGGAGTCAAACGCAAAACAAGTTGTTGGAACGAACTGTCATGTTTTTAAATCCTCTCAGACGTAAATATAGAGGCTGGCACCTGTTTTCCCCCAACTCGCCTAAATATTCCTCTCGTCTGTCTGAAAAACATTTTCAATCTGTTCCATAACATTCTTGCTGTTTTTCTGACTTCTAGTGACCTCTTACGTCACAAAAACACACCCTGTCTGGTCGATTTTGACCAATCAGGAACCTCCCAAATGAACCGGAAATAGAGCTCTTTAAAAGGTGCAACACTTCCTAGTTCAAAAAAGTTCTGCGGTTCTGAGAGCAGTTCCAGAGTTCAGAATGCTGGAATTCAGGATGCTGGAGGAAGTTCTGAAGTTCTGAGAAGTTCTCAGCAGTTCTGGGAAGAACTGAGGAGAACGCTGAGAGAATGCTGTGAGTTGGTTCCGAGAGCAGCAGAGTCCAGAATGCTCAGGACATCTGCGACTAAGCTGAACAAGAGAAGTTCAGAGGAATTATGAAGAAGTCTGTTCTAGGATGATCTCACGACTCCTGAGGTTTAGCTGTTCTTACGGAGACGCTGGAAGAGTTGAAAGGAAAGCTCTACACCAACGCCGAAACTATCATCTGCAAAGGTAAAGAGTCGATCTCAACCAAAGTGTACCGTTGGTTAAGCTGGTCCAAAGGAGCGTGTTGTTCTGGTATAACAGACAAATGCCCTCACCCATCTCTCTCAAAATAAACTTCTTTCCATCTTTAAACTCTTCTATCTGCTAGAAATCATTCCAGATATTTTAGAAATGTCTGTTGTACAGCTGGAAGCAAGGGAAACAATCGCCGTATTGTTTCCTCCTTGTAAAACTTGCTAAATTAGCCATGTTGTTATTTTCCAATTTTGCCAAATTAATGTAAATGTGTGATGTTAAACTTGATTCTGTAAATAAATGACCACGTTCATTTTGATGGGTCAAAGAAAATTAACGTCTCACGTTACGTTTTTAATAATTCAATGCACGACATTATTCAGTCCAGAAAAATGAAAGAATCCGTTTAATTTATGAATATATCACAGCATATGTTCATCTACACATGCATTCATTACATCTAGGCTTGATTACTGCAATTCGCTCCTGTTTGGTATCAGTCAGACCTCCATTGCACGACTACAACTGGTCCAGAATGCAGCAGCCCGATTTTTAACCAGTACAGGCAAAAGAGAGCACATTACACCAGTTTTGGCCTCACTGCACTGGTTACCGGTTCACTTTCAAATCCAGTTCAAAATACTCCTGTATGTCTACAAATCGCTGAACAGTGTCGCGCCCCCCCATCTCTCTGATCTGCTACAACCGTATGTCCCACCACGTTCCCTGAGGTCAGCGGACCAGTTGCTCCTCACAGTTCCAGGAACTCGTCTTAAGCGCAGAGGTGACAGGGCCTTCTCTGTAGCAGGACCAAGACTCTGGAATGAGTTACCTCTGCTTGTCAGACAGGACCCCTCCCTCTCGGTTTTCAAATCCTGTTTAAAAACACTACTATTCAGTAGCTTTCAACACCAGAGGATCTGTGTTTTGATCCTGTATGCTCTACACGGGTTTGTCGTCATATTTATTATCTGCATCGTTTTTATGTCTATATTCTGATTTACCTCATTTTGTATTTTGCTTTGTGTGTTACCTGTTGTTTTGTCTGTACAGCACTTTGATTGGCCTTGTTGCTGTTTTAAGTGCTTTATAAATAAAGTGGTATGGTAAAAACGATGAAGTGAGTAGATAATGGATGGATGGAAATATGTGAGCAGCTAGGATTTGGTCTAGTACTGGCGCCCAGTAACAACTTTATAATGGAGATTCTAAAAACTTAAAATATCTCCAACAAGCAGCCAACTGAAGTTCAGTCAGCCCATTTGTTCATTCTAAGATGCTACTTCTTCCCCAGTGCTGCCACTTTTGGACAGTTCCTCATCTTCTGCCTGTACTCTGTTCCTGCAGCGTTGTTTCAACAAAGCATATTGTGTCAGTCGGACCCAGCAGACAGCGTGATCAGGAACACCTGCGCAGCATCTTTCAGTAACGTTACACAGTAACACAAGCAAGCCTTGCACTGCTCACAGCGAAGTACTCGCCTGCCGTCTGGGCAACCTAGGTTTGAAACCCACAGTCAGAAAGTTAGAAGATTCAAAGTTAGGAAACAATATGCACATTCAGAACAAATCATACCCTCTTGCACACTTTAGACAATTTAATCATATATAGAGAGTTTAAATGCTTACACTTGTGTTGTTTACCTCTTCATTGTAGACGGGCTTGAACGCTCGGTGTGTTCAGTGTCATCGTGGAACAACTACACTCACTGGCAGCAAGAGAGATGACACTTTCACAATGTTTCAATATATCGGGTGTTCAGTACTATTGTTTTTACTGATTATTGTTTTGTGTGCAGCACTTTGGCCAATGGCAAATGTTTTTAAATGTGTTATTAAAACAATATTTGATAAGGAGCTTCAAGAAAAATCATATTTACATTTCATGCACAATTAATCGGCTTTTTCTAATTTCCTTCAACTTTCTTGTCTGAAAATCATGAATTAAGACCCAGACTTGTTATATAAAAAGTTTTATTTAGTTTTTCTTTTTTTTTCACACAGTGTGCTGCAGAAAAGGGCTTGACAGCACCACGGTTGCAGCACATGAGTCTGAGGTTTACTGCAAGTCGTGCTATGGCAAGAAATACGGGCCAAAGGGCTACGGATATGGTCAAGGAGCTGGAGCTCTGAGCTCTGATCCTCTTGGACAAGATGCAGAACTGCAGCCTCCAGAGTAAGTATTCAACAAGAACCCCAAGAGGTCTGGGTCAAGTTGAACTAACAGAGACCTGTATATGAGATCACCATCATCTACTACCAAAACAAATTCATATTTCTATGTCTAAAACTGATTAATGTATTTTGTTTGTGTTTGCCAAAGTAGCTGAGACAGCCATTTAAATTTCAAACAGAGAGCGTATCCATCTGTTAGCACTCAGACTGTGTTGAGGTGGACTGTCAGCAACTTTCACATCAAACTGTAACTCAGTTTCTAAATCTGAATGAGTTCAAACCGTTTGCCAAAGTAGCTGTGGATTAAAAAAAAGAGAGACGTTAGCGATCTGTTAGCATTGAGAGTATTTTTTGAGGATTACTGTAGTTCATCATCTATAAAACTGACTGTCAGTCATTTTTGTCTTTACCGAGGTAGCTGTGGAGGCCATCTTGAATTTGTTTTCCATCAGAGTACGTCTTGAAGATTCCTGTCAGTAATTACAACACCAAAGTTTATCTCAATACATCTAAAAAAAATTTGTTGATGACATTTCTGTATTTGTTAAGGCAGCTGTGGTGGCCATCTTTAAACAAACGGGCCTAAAAAAGAACAACTAATCAGTCTTGGAGGGAACTCCAATGACTACTTTCTGATATTTGAAGGATTCGCTTTTAAATCCTATGGGGTTTAGTTTTTTGTATATTATGTTGCCATGGGCAGCACGGTGGCGCAACTGGTAGAGCTGCTGCCTCTCAGCGAGAAGGTTGCCGGTTCAATTCCCAGTCTAGGGGCCTTCCTGGGTGGAGTTTGCATGCTCTCTCCGGTTTCTAACCACAGACCAAAAACATGCATGTTAGACTGATTTCTGGTCTGGACTGATTTTCTGGACTGATTTCAGGTCTCTCTTGTAAATGAGTCCTCGAGGCTCAATGGGATTTACCTGTCTAAATAAAGGTTGATTGATTGATTGGTAACTCTAAATTGTCCCTAGGTGTAAGTGAGAGAGTGAATGGTTGTTTGTCTTGTTTGTCTCTATGTGTCCCTTTGATGGACTGGAGACATGTCCAGGGTGTCCCCTGCCTCTTGCACAGTGACTGCTGGACATGGGCACAGGCGACCCCCATGGCCTAAAATGGAAGAAGCGGGTAAAAGATTATGGATGGATGTTGCCATGGCAACTGAAAACATCACTAAAAGAAACAGCTGGCATATATATTGTGTGTCTTGACGTGTAGTATATTGTGTGAGTGCAGCCCTCAGTGTGAGCAGCATTAACATTTGTTAGGGTGTAAATATTGCATATTTTAGAAACCCATTTAGAAGTTGCACTGCATTGTTTCCAATACATTTTTATGTCAGACTCCCAAAAAGTGATCGTCTGAGCTTTTCTTAAAGGCTCACTATTCAAATCTTTATACAGCCACACATGAGCAAGTTTTATGTTCAGAAGCATTCTGTTTCTGAAATCCCTATTTCCTAAATCTCCAAACTGAAACTTGTTTTTCATAGATCTAAACCTCGACAAAGCTCTTCAAACACCAATCCTGGGAAGTTTTCTCAGAAGTTTGGTGGGTCGGACCGCTGCCCTCGCTGCTCCAAAGCTGTCTATGCAGCGGAGAAGGTGATGGGAGCAGGAAAGGTAGGAAGCTTTATGAATTTATTTTGTTTTCATTCTTCTTCCTTTGTGCACAGATTTAAAAATGAACTCTGCCTGCACTTCCTGTACTTTTACCTCCACAGTCCAACATATTGTCAGTTTATACCCGTTAACTCTCAGTACTCTAACTTTGAACAGGCTTTACATTTGCACACAAAAATATGTGGTAAAAGCATGTGCAGAAAATGTTGAAACATGAAGCAATAATTTGTTTAATGGTTATTAATGGAAAGGCTGTTATGCTGCCATCTGCTGTGTCTTCTGAGTACTGCAGCTGTCCTGTTAAGTTCTGAGAAAAATAAAATAAAAAGAGCACATGCTGACACGTCTGTTCTCATCAGAAAATACCATTAAATTATTAAATAGAACTAATCAGCCGAAATAAGTTGTCAAGCAGCTGTCACTGAACTTACTTAAAAACAAAAATTGTTACTTAAAAAAAAAATTCTCAAATGCAAAAAATTAAAGCGTGAGTTTGTAAAAATATTCCTCATTGTGATGTTAGAGCTGTATAAGGCGTACGTTTATTCGTTTACATCACGGGTGTCCAAAGTGTGGCCCGAGGGCCATTTATGGCCCTTGGAGTGATTTTGTGCGGCAGTGGTGGGATGTAACTAAGTACAAATACTTTGTTACTGTACTTAAGGACATGTATCTGTACTTTACTTAAGTAGAGTTAAATGTGGGTACTTTATACTTTTACTCCACTACATTTTACATCAAGTATCTGTACTTTCTACTACACTACATTTCTATAACGCGTTGCATTACAAGTTACATTCATGTTGCGGCTTTTTTATTTGTTTGTTACTTTGAAAGTAACTAATGGTGAGAGGAGCTGGTCCAGTGAATCACTGCAAAGTGGGCAGGTAACGTTAGGTCCCGCCTTCAAGAAGAGCTGGGCCAATGACATATATTCTAGTATATGTCACTGAGCTGGGTTCACCTGCAGCACCACTAATACACCCAAAATGTATTCCACCACAAGAGTCAGCCAGAAGATACGAGCCACTCATGGCCTTATTGAAAGATTATTGAAAGATTATTGAAAGATTATTGAAAGGCTCACTACAACAGGACAGCTTGTCTCTCCCAAAAGAACCAGACTGAACTCAAAAATCTTTGAAAACAACTTCTTCTGAACTTGAACAAGAAATTCTTGCTGCAATATTAAAATGTGTCAGTTCATGATGTTAGGAGACAAGAGATGTCTCCAAATGTCTCGACACTCGGGTCCAAGTTTTAAAAATGGTGTCAGGAAGTTAAACATTGTTCACTATTGACCCATTACAAGGTTTAGACAGTATTTAACTAGAGTTGATGATAAACTGGAGTTGAAATGATCAGAGTCTGTTCCTTTGTTAGTTGTGTCTAATGCTCCTTTTATTCAGGCAGACAACTTTTACTTAAATGTGTTTACTGCAGTTAAAATGACACATTGGTCTTAAGTTAAATAAAAACTTTCAAAGGTATAATCATTCCTTTTCTTATTTTGATTAATGACATTTAACTCTGCAGGTCATCCCTGAAATTCTGACGCACAGAATCGCAAGTCCAAGTGTGAACTGTGTCACAGAGTAAACACAATAAAAACATGTATTATCTGCAGCATCGTTCATTAAAATGACTCAACACTATTAATGTTTTACAGAAAATATACATACGGTAGGTACACTTAATGATATGTAGACCATTGCATTAGGTAATACATTCAGCAAGTACTTTTAATACTTTAAGTATGTTAAAAGCAAGTACTTATTTACTTTTACTTAAGTAAAAATGTTAATGTGGTACTTCTACTTCTACTAGAGTACATTGTCTGTTTATTTGTACTTTTACTTAAGTACAGCGTTTGAGTACTTTCTCCACCGCTGCAGTTTAAGAATGGTATTTTGGTCAGCAGGCTTAAGAGGTCGATGCAGACTTTCTGCAAATTAATCCTTTTTATCATGTTTAACAGCAAAACAGATAATCTTCTCAAAATGAGTAATATTAAACAAAATATAAACCATTTCATATAATCTTTTTATTTTCACTTCATGGAACAAAACACACCCGTCCAGGGTGTACCCCGCCCCTCGCACAGTGATTGCTGGACATGGGCACCGGCGACCCCCGTGACCCAAAATGGAAGAAGCGGGTAAAGAAAATGGATGGAACAAAACACTTCAAACCTTTACTGATGTCTACCAGAAACAAGACTTTTGGATAAATATTGCAGTTGATAAAATAATCAAGAGGGAAATTTGACATGTAAATGACTACAACATGGTAACATCTACATACGAGTTGATCAACTTTATCAAACTTATGAATCTGTTGTAGCGACCGACAGCTGGAAACATTTTTTCTCCTCCACCAAAATGAGTAAACTATTCCTTTCTCTAAAATATTGCTCACATTGGGAGTTAAATTCATTTTTGTGGTCCACGAGTCCTTTTATCGTGATAGCGTTGGCACAGATATGAAAACGTTTGGACACCCCTGGTTTCAATTGTTCATTTGCTGCTCACCTCGTCATTTTCATCACATGGTTGACGTCAACATTTATTAAACTTTTATTTTTGCATCTGTAAAAAATAAGCATTTTTAAATATGAAACAAGTACCAGTTTTGGTCATTTGACTAGATCAGCTCGATAATACATTTTACACTTTGTCATGAAGTCAGACTAATTTTTTGATACATTACCTGCGTTCATGACTTGACACTATTTTAATTAAACTTATGTAGTTGATTCTTCTGTTTTGACCTTTTGATGAAGTCTAGAACCTGCTGAAGGCTTGAAATTATTCTTTGTTTCCTGCGTTTAGGCCTGGCATAAAACCTGTTTCCGCTGCGCTCTGTGTGGTAAAAGCCTGGAGTCGACCACCGTGACCGACAAGGACGGGGAGCTTTACTGTAAAGGTACGCTTCTTCAGCACCTTTCATCTGAGGAGGAGTCCTGATCAAACTGGACATTTGGGTCAGAGACAGCACTGCACATAATTATTTTTATTCTCTTCAGTTTGCTACGCCAAAAACTTTGGCCCTAAAGGATTTGGGCTGGGAAATGCTGCCATGTTGGAGGAGCGCGAGTGAACACGTGTGCCTCAGACGGCAGCAGATCCTGTGGAGGCTTCACCGTCGACACCGGAGGATGTCGTCACCACAAACCAGAATCCTGAGCATTAACATTTTAATGCGGAAAACGTTTGCAGCACTAAATAAAATTATGTTGCATCAAAATATAATTGTTTGTTTTTAAGAGGAAAGAAAAAAATAAATGCAACCTAAAACCTGTGAATAATGTATTTGATATTATTCTGTCTTTGGGAACATACAAAAAGCCCCGTTGTTCTTTTAAAGGACGCACATCGCCCAGTAAGACCATCTTATGATGGGAGGTCGTGTTGAGCACACCTTGTAAATGACCTTACGCAATACTGTCAACCATTGTTAGCACAATATGTGTAAAGCTGACACAGTGTGGCGACAGTCTTGAATGGAGCGGACTCCTAAAACTAATCAGGCTGTTGCACGTCCACTGATTTACAAGAGGTGTTGGCAGCGCTGCAGACGTGGTCAGAATAAACCGTGGGCGAGTTTTCATCAACTTTACAGCCGAGGTGCTTCCTGATCCTGTTGCTTTAAAAAGGCAGCTGTCCACACTTTAGCTTAATAAACTTCATATTATAGCAACTATTTCTCACTATTTAAAAACAGGAAAAAAAACTAAAGTATTTTATAATTGTTTTCCCAGATAATAGATGAATTTACAGACATGAGACTATGTCTCGAACTCTAAATAGAAGTGAGTTTTGGACAGAAGTGTGTAAGAAGACAGGCACATGGTTGCTTTATTGAAGTATTATAGTGGTCATTTGTTATTAAACACATGCAGCTTTTACAAAAAGGCATAAAACCGAACAGTTTACATACAAAGAGTCTCGTTTTCCTCAAACCACATAGTAAAAATAGGATTAATGTGTTCATAAAAACAACACAAAACCTCCAGAACAATTTAGGCCTTTAAAAGATCATTTCTGTCCCTTTATCAGATCAGAACGTTGAGTTCGTGTAAGGCAGCAGCCGTCTAAAGATCAGCTGATCAATATTTACACAATCTTTGAGTTTCTTTCAACTTCTCAAACTGCAGTTTGTCTTTACAAAAAGCCACCAGATGAAAAAATAAATAATACATTCTGTGCTTTTGGTCCAAAACCAGAGTCTGACCCTGAGTGGAGGGTGTGGAGGGAGGAGGAGGTCAGACCACGTTGATTTGATCAAGCAGGTGCTGGTCCCGGCAGGGCTGGAACTGCTCCGACCAGTCCACGATGGTCGGTTTGAAGAGGCCACAACAACGCAGGTGGAAAAACGAGACCAGGTTCTGCACCACACCCAAACTGCAAACAGGCGAGTCAGAGAGAAGACACGAATGTCGCTCAGTTGTTTTCCACACGTCGCAAACTTGAATATTTATGGAAAAACACATTTTATTTTCACACACAGTATTTGAGTGTATACCTGTACACTTGAACTTTATAATACTTTTGTCAGATGTAACTGGGAGCCTGTGTACACAGTTTTGTTCCACCACATGTACCACGTGTGGTGCGCATGACAACTAATGAAACTCTGACTTGAACTTTATTTGCTGACAGAAACACTTTGTTCTTTGGTTTGTTTTTAGTGAGGGTACTGAGGACTGAATGTTTCTGTGTTTGGTGCCATCTGTGTAATAAATAAAGCAATAGTTCAGATCTTTTGAAGTGTGCTTTTAAAGAAATGCTATAAACAATATCTTACCTGTTGTAGATAGATTTTTAAAGTCTATTGGAGAATATCAAGTTTAATTGTAAATGGAGCTAATGGCTAGTACAAGTGGGCTCAAGACCAAAGTGGATCACTGACATCTTAAAATAAATCTAAACAATTCAAAGCAGCTCAAGTAAATGTGACTTTATAAACTTTTACATCAGAGCTGTTCAACTAAATTGCTCAGGGGGCCACAGGTACTGAAAGCCTGGAGCTCAGGGGCCCGACATCCAGCAGTTATTGTCATTACATTTGTTTTACAATTTAAAATCTAATTTTATTTAAAAATGAACCCCTTGGTGGGCCGAACCAAGCACACCCGTGGGCCTGATCTGGCCCCCGGGCCACCAGTTGAATAGCCCTGATCTACACCGAGCCGCAGCCCTAAAGGCCAGACACTCCAAACTTTAACCTGTTTAAGGAAAGCGTAGGGGAACCTCCGCCTGAGAGTTTTTCTGAAGGCCACCGAGCCGTTCTTGAGATATTTTGCTAACAGTCAGCTACAACAGGATCTACATCGTCATCAATTTTGCGTTACTGTTATTTCTACAAACTGTCACAATATTTCAGCCTGAAGTGTCCCAGGTGGCACCAGAAGTTACTACAGCTAGCTGCTGCTGCTAATGGTGCATGCAAATAAAAACATTCTAGGTAAATAATGTGTACTGGAAAAATGAACACAATTTAAAGGTCTATAAAAAAAGCATTCGACAAGAGACTGGAGCCACTTTACGACAGAAGTGATCCACCGCGAATCAGACTAGCCGTTAGCTCATGAATCCAGCCAGAATTAAACTATTTCTCCAAATTGAGCTCGTTCAGAGAGCTAGCTACAACCAGTGAAACTTTTCTGTTCCTCGCCTTTCTACAGAAACACGTTGAAACATCTGGACCATCACTTCAAGCTTCAGGCCCTGGTTTAGTTCCACTGAGACCTAAAGCTTGTTTGGCACAGCAGAGTGAGAAATAAATCACAGCTAACGTGAAATATTCAAAAAGTTCTCCCCGAAGAAATTTTAAAAAGCTGTTAATGTAAAACAATTATCACCCCCAACAATGACTATTTAAATACTCAACATTACAGCTACACTGAATATTATTAACAGCTTTCAATCAAGCTACAATATGGAAGCTTTTGAAACAAAACCACAGGATGTTTCAGCATTTCACTGATGCATTTCTTTTTCTGTTCGGGTTGAAACGGACACTTCAGTTTCAACCCGAACAGAAAAAGGTGTGACACAACGACCGGTACATAAGTGCACGGTGACGTAGATGTTACGCTGAGCTCGAGTTCAGGAGACGTTAGCGGTAGCAGGCTAGGCTAATCTCCAATGCACGTTTAGTTTTCTCCTCAAAATGATGCCCATGGCCGTCAGAATGTGACTGAACAAGCTTTCACAAGCGACGAGAGCAGATGACATCACTGATGAGAGGAAAGACTTAATTGGGCGGTGTGGAAGTGGTTCTGCTAGATACGATCCGATAAACTGCAGGTTTCAGTCAGTGTGCTGCAAAATGTGATGGAGAGTCGATCCAAGTAGCCGTGGGAACATCGAACTTGTTCCACTAGGTAGAAGATGCTGAGAGTCAGAAGATGAAGCACAATAAAAGTCAACGTGTCCCTGAAACAACCCCCCCCCCCCCAAGCTGTATCAAGAGAAACACACGTTGGCTGCATGGGTTATGTCATGTTGTTGTTTAAAGTTAAAACTATTAATGTTGACAAAGTTGAGTTTTATGTTTATTTGACAGTGATTTCAAATTTCTTTGAAGGCTAAATACAAATAAAAGGTGAACATTAATTTATTTGTACAGTTTTTCTGAGGCTTTTATATTGTTCATATCAATATCGGAATTATATCGTTATCGACCGAGAAATATATTGTGATAAACGTTTTGGTCATATCGATCAGACAGCAGCAGATTAAAGTATTTACTTGAATGTTGCTGCATTACAAGGATGAAATAATGATTTTATTATATAGAAATTGATCACTTTCTAAAATGTAGAACATCTCGGTCCCTAACACGGTTTATGTTGATGGACTCACTTGAAGGGATTCTGTCTCATGGACACTGGTTGTCTCATTCTCTTTTGCTGAAAGATCAGAGTTGTTCGCTCTGCTGTGGTTATTCCAAGGAATGCAATCTGTTCCAACACAAAGACAGAAAACAACAAAAGAAACATTTTACACAAGTCTCCAAACCACTCACACGCAGCAGATAAGAAAACCAGACGAACAGGAGTGACTCATCTCAGCACTTGCAGTCTAAACTGTTGTAATTCACCAATGATTTCCAAACTACCGTAATTCCCGGACTATAAGCTGCTACTTTTTTCACATGCTTTGATCCCCTCGGCTTATGCTGCAGCTAATTTATGGATTTCATTTTTTTCTGATGGACTAACGAGCTTCATGCTGTCAAAACGTTCAGTCTCGTCACACCCGGGCGCTCACAGAGCAGCCCAATACACGTCACTCAAGGGGGTGGGTCCTCGGGACTCAATGAGACTACCGTATTTTACGCTGTACACGTCGCACCGCCCTATAAGTTGTATCAGTCCAAATATGTCTAAAAAAATGGAAAAATCCATAAATATGTTGCTTCGTCATATACGTCGCATCTATTATGCGTCACCGCTGACGTGGACTGGTGTTGTGCCAAAACCGATGGGCGGCCAAATGGTGGCCGCGGGAGCGTGCACGGGAGAATTTAACAAGATTAACACTTAAAAGCAATTATTTGTTTGCTCGAAATTATAGTAAAAATGTGTCTCAGTTGAACTTTTACTCAATAAATGCACTTTGATGGTCAAAGTAGCTGCATTTCACCGGAGCGGTGCAGCTGGTTTAACTTGCTCCAAGCAGTGAGCAGAACGAAGGTGGGGGGGCGATTGTGTCATTAATAGCTGGTGAAGATTCTCAGTCATCCAGGACACGGTAATTCCAAAAAAGTTCAAGAAAGAAAAAGTATAAAGTATACTACCTGTATAAATAAAGGGTAAATGAAAATAATAAATAAAATCCAGTTGTTTTTGTCTTAGGCAGCACGGTGGCGCAACTGGTAGAGCTGCTGCCTCTCAGCGAGCAGGTCCTTGGTTCAAACCCCGGTCCAGGGGCCTTTCTGGGTGGAGTTTGCATGTTCTCTCCGTGCATGCGTGGGTTTTCTCCGGGTACTCCGGTTTCCTCCCACAGTCCAAAAACATGCATGTTAGGCTGATTGGTAACTCTAAATTGTCCCTAGGTGTGAGTGAGAGAGTGAATGGTTGTTTGTCTCGTTTGTCTCTATGTGGCCCTGTGATGGACTTGCGACCCGTCCAGGGTGTACCCCGCCCCTCGCACAGTGATTGCTGGACATGGGCACCAGCGACCCCCGTGACCCAAAATGGAATAAACGGGTAAAGAAAATGGATGGATGGATGGATGTTTTTGTCTTGAACTTTTTTGAATTTGTCATTATAGCCACGTTTACCTATTACATGCTACAACGGCATGCCATACTGTTACTACTACTCTGCTGCCATCAAGTGTCTGAAAGTGGTATTGCTCTTTTTTTTTTCTGTCAATGAATGAAAACAGTTATATCTCAGCCAAAAATTGGTTTATAAATATGGGAAAAAAAATCCATAAATACGTTGTTTCGGCCTACAAGTCGCAGGGCATGTAAATTATGCAAAAAAACGTGACTTATAGGTAAAAAAAAATATGGTACTTGTATAAATAAAGGTTTTTAAAAAATTATAATCTGACAAATGAAATTACCAAACAGGTCACAGTGGGAGGGGGGGTGGGGGTGGGGGGGTGGTACAAAATCCCTCCCCCTTCCTCTCCTCCCCGTTGTGCCTCCAGGGACGGGTGAAACTTTGTTCTAGAAGTATTTGCAGCCACTCGAAATAAGTGTGAATCGTGCATTAATGTAGCACTCTGTGGGAGGCTTGGATGACTGGTGGTGAGAAATCGTTGACCAAAACTGGTCGCAAGTCTTCTTTAGACAGAGAACTTCACTAACTGGTTTTTCTATGCATGTGCATGTTCCTGTAAAGTGCCCTGACACAACTTTGTTGTGATTTGGTGCTATACAGATAAACTGAATTGAATTGAAAGACTGCCAGTGGCTCCTGACAGCCAAGTGGTATAAAATAAAATCCTCTGCTGCTGCATGATGGATCCTCCAGCGCAGTGTGCAGGAGGAAGGTAAAGATAGCGATCAATGACTTCCTGGTAGGCTACTGTAGTTTTCTTTTTTTTTTTTTGAACAAGCCATGTTACAGGCACTGTTCACAAAAAAACATTTACTGTACTCTATGTATGTTTCCAGTACTTTTTAAATTAAGTTTAAAAATCTTTCTGTGTAAATATCTCATGTTACAACAAGGACACGCGTGGCTTATAGACAAGCACGGCCTATATATGTACAAAATTATTATTTTTATTTAGTGGGCACAGATTCAGGTGTGCTTAATAGTCCAGAAATGATGGTACCTGCATATAAATGTAAATATTTTATAGCATTCTTTACAGTAATGTCAAACCATTACAATCTCTATAAATATCTCATGGATACAAACTAATCCGTCATGAATCTCAGAACAAGTCCAGTAGATCGTTGGGACAGAGAAGCTGATCAACATTTGTTCCATCACCTGGTAAAGTTGCACCAGCAGGCTCAAACTGGACCAACAGGTGTGATAAAATGACAGCACAGAGATGCTGAGCACCCAGGGGGAGCAGCTGACCAGGGCCGTGACGACGCCCCACACACCCTGATCCTCATAATGAAACGTGCAGTGAGTGGACCAGTCTGAAAAAAATCAAAGCCACAGCAGGAATCTGTGTTGGTTAAAAAGAACTGTGGAGGTTCTGAGGTCACGGTGGTCTCAGTCACTCACACATGAAACAACCGTAGAGCATCCAGGATCCAAGCAGCATCAGGGAGAGCAGGAAGAGGACAAAGTAGTAATGGTTCCTCGCACCTGAAAAAGTAAAAAATTAACAGATATAAGGGGGGAAATGTGACATTTTCTACATTTTGTGTGTTTTACATGTTGTTTTAATAACTCTTGTTGTATTATAGCATCTCTGTGGGTCTTAATCTAAACTAATCTGATCATTAATACCTGCTACACTGAGGAAAAAGACACACAACTCTGCGAACTTTCCACCTTAGGCAGAGTCACATTCAGAGATGATTGGAGGTATATTGTAGCCTACGGTATGGGTTCCTAATAATTACACTGTTAAACATCAGAAAATAAAAAGGCACACAGTCCGTCAGTAAGGATGCACCCAGTGATACCAGAATACTAGCATCAATACATGAACACAGCCAAATCTCAAAGATCATCTTTTAATCAGAAGATCAGTGTCAAATTCAGTGATTTTCTATGTTTTTCTCAAATTCTCTGATTTTTCCAAGTCTGGAAAATGTGAAATTTTCCAGGTTTTCACTGATGTCCAGAGTTGCAGGGAACCCTGGAATTATGAATTATCATTATCACTGACTGTAACTCGGTTCAAGAATTGTTTATATTTTCTAAATTAAAAGTAAAAGGCTCCTGGTTAAGACTGATTTTTTTTATTTTTTTTATTTACAAAGTTTGAACTGGTTTAAAACCGATTTGGAAATTAGGATTTAAATCTATTCAAAGCTCATTTGAACATTTTAAAGTTTTGTATTTATTGTCTCAAAAATTTCTGAATGTGTGAATAAAAGTTTGTCTACAAACAAAAATGTAGCTGGTCCACTTAGCAATGGTACAGATGATTCTGAACTAATAAAGAAATCTTAAAATATCTTTTAAACACCACGTAAAACGTCTTATTTTAATAGTTTATAAAATTAAACATTTAGAACAAACAGCTTTACTCCAGTCAAATTAAGGATCGGACATTTTTCAGACTAAAATGAACTTTCCAAGTTTTGAAATCTTGTGAATATACTGTAAACAGATCTTTAGATCAGTACATGATCTTAAAGTTGGTGACTTGTCAGTCGTACCGATGCAGGTGTTGGTCCAGACGGAGTGGTGGTCCTGCTTCGCGACACAAGCATCGCAGCTGAAGCAGTGATTGGCTCTTAATGGTTTCCTTACCTGCAAACCACAGAAAAGGTATTGGAGTAATGCAAGGTGCTGGTGTCCAGTGCAGTAACAAGTGATTGTTGTGTGTGGATTGTCCCACCATACAAGATGTGCAAAATATTCTGGGGTCCAGACAGCCAGCCTCAGCCAACGCCACCACGTTCTGAAATCACAGAACTCAATAAAACTGAAGACATGGAAGAAAATGTGAACTTTTCACAGCTTTCCCACCATTTTCTTCTTCTCTTCTGTGACTCTGATGAACCCCGGGTCTGTTCTGCAAGTGCGAAGGTAGTAGTAGAGGAGAGTGGTGGCGTTCAGAGTGAACAGAACCTGAACCGTGGCACTGGTTAGATGTGGGGGGTGTAGGTTAAGGAGCTTTCAGTTGATCCACTCATTTCATAAAGTGTTAACGTTTAGGTGTGACAACAAAGCACAAACATTTATTTAATCCCATACCTTTCTCTCATGTTGACAGAAGTTAAAGTAACAACCCTGAGCTGCATGTTCACACCATAGAACAGGCTCCATGCAGCTTCTACAAGTCCAGGATCTGCAGCTACATATTTATTTTTCGACACTTTATGGACGGGACAAGCAAAGACCGTGTTTTAACTTTGATCTCGAGTCTGTTTCCAGACTTTGGTCAAATGTCTTGTCGTTACACTTCACGCTGTTTTCAAGTTGTGCAACAGTTCTAGACAAATTAAATAAAACTGAATGACTAAACTTTATTAATCTTTTGATGTCAAACCCATTTTTTCACTTTGACACTGAAAATTTTAAACAATTGGACCTAATGTTTTGTTAGTTTAGGGGTAGAGCTGGGCGATATGGACCAACATTCATATCTTGATATTTTAAAGAGAACTCACAATATGCAATATATATCTCAATTTTTTCTATCCATAAAGTAACTACGAAAATATATTGGAGTCAAAGCTTTGTCCCAAGTGTCACACAGGCACATTTATTAATGAACAGCTGTAACTGTACAAAATAAATGTAAAAAAACAACAACTACACATTTTACTACTACTACTATTTACAAACATCAACCTGACACTAATGGTTGTTACACAAAGCTCAGTCAGGTTTAAGTCCAGAATGTGGAACCACTGGCGTTTCAGCCTTTTTGTAAATCTGACACTTACAGTTGGGATTTTATCTTTTTTATATTACTTATTTGCATTTTTTATATGGACCTATTTGTCTTTAATGAAGGTGGTGATGATGATGATGTTAAATAATAATCCTCTTCAGCTGCGCTGCCTTTACGACGTTAGTAAGCTCGTAAGTGTGGCATTAATAAAGCAGTGGCTTATCATATCGCTAAAGACACGGCCCTTAGCAGCTAACGCTTTAGCCGTCTTGTTTCACAGTTGAGACTGGGACCGTGGTTTCTGATCCCACTCGTTAACTGATTCTGATACATAAAGAAACAACGTGTGTTTGTATAAAAATACAATAAAAAGTTGCATTTTTAGGAGTCGCCTTGCTCCAAACAAACAAATAAAGGATATCTGGCAGAAACCAGAGCCACCAGGTCAAGAGCATCCAGAAGACTGAAGCCATGAGAGCTGAAGCTGGCAGGAAAGCCTGAAAGTCTGCCGTCGGGAAATTCCTGTTTCATACAAATGATGAATATTAAAGTGAAGGAGGTGATACTGAGAGCATTTATATTTAAATCTGTCAAAAGAAGAGCTAAAAGGTTCTCACCTTGAGGCTAAATTGATCCCACCCATTACACAGGCCAACAGGACCCCTTTGAGTAACCAGGACTCTGAATTCATATCAACGATGGCTCCAACACACCCATACAGGACGGTGCACAATAAGAACTGCATAAAAACCTTAGAAAACAAAGCAACATGAAAGACTTCCTTTCAGATGACTATATTAAGTGCTTTGTTTCCAGTCTGACCGTACCCTGTATCTGTTGACGAAGCGCAGACAGCGAGAGCTGGAGCGAATCCTCTCCTGTTTGACGAGGCTGAGCATGTGGATGAGCAGCGGGCTGTGCACTTGGTGAGCCAGGTCGATCGGTGTGTGACCCTGAGGGCGAAGCAACAACAAACCAAAGGAAATGATCAAATACAAAGCTGAAGGACTCGTTTATTGAAAAACTTTGTACTGCGAGTAAAACTAATGAAACTTGTCCCACCAGTTATAATCTTAAACTCAGATTAAGGACCTGTTCACACGTGACCGATCCGTGGAAACGTTTGTGTTTTTTCATGTCGACTGTGGTGAATCCACATGAAGAAACAAAAAAACACGCAGTGCTCGTTGAATTGACAGAACCATTGCTTTTAAATCGTTGTATTTTGACCCAAACTATCGTTTGTGCTGAGTGAAGGTGCTGTGCTTGGTGAACACGTGCACAGAAGAACTGGGGGGTCTTAACTGTAATTATCATATATCTGGTAACGAAGTCGCTAGCGTGAGAATGTTTGAGCTATCAGCGATGTGCACATGCATGCAGACAGTTCAGTGTTAAAAGAGTTGCATCAAAATGGTGAATGCATGAACGTTGGTTTGGACCAAGGATGGGGTTGGTTTGCTCCTACATGTTGAAAAGGGGTGAGCAACACAAACAGCACTCTGCTACCCAACACTGTTACTGTTGTCGCTCAGGAGCAGAAAAACGACTGACTGCAGACTTCTGTAGTACACACAGTTTCACACACCTCTGTGGAGGGATTTCACAAAGACCTCTGTCTGAGAGCCTGAATCAAAAAGCTGTGGTTTGAGACAACAAGAGCGGTGCTTGTGTACATGAACGGCTGAAACGCAGCAGAAAAGACACGGTTTCACTCAAAAATGGTGTTTCAAACAGCATACCTGCAAACTTACAAGGATGAAAAAGATGACAAACCTAGTGCCTGTAAGGGGGAGGGGTCTGTTCCAACTAGTCCATATAGGCATCATCCTGTTTTCAAACTCACTCCTATGGCTAAGATAATAAAACTAATGTGACACAGTTTATCACAAACAATGACTTTAGGGGTGCACTTGACTTATTTTGTTAACTTTTTATTTAGTTTTATTTCTAACACAATTTGTCATTATTGTGCTAAGTAATGGTGACACTGAACTGCATGTTTAAAAATAATTTTAACTTTACCCATTGAACATTTTAATAACACCAGCAGTGAATTTAGGGGCTTTTTACCGTTTTCTGATTTAGTGATGCTCAGAACGAAACATGACCTGACATCATACAGCTTTCACAACACTAAATTACACTGTGCCAAGCAAGTGACACAAAAAAATAATGTGTTAGTTTTGTCAACCTACATGTAATTATTAAAACCAAATCATTTACAGGTTCCTTCCTTGCTGCCACAGTTTCTACACTTCATAGCTTTTATTCCCCTTTCCTTCACAATCCACTTGGAATAACATCCATCTCCTTCTTCCACTGTTTTCCTTTCCACGATTCCTTCCCCATCACTGGTTTTAACTATTTTACTTTCCAGAAAACTTAATTGGCTCCATCCATCCATCCATCATCTTTACCCACTTCTTCCTTTTTGGGTCATGGGGGTCACTGGTGCCCATATTCAGCAGTCACTTTGTGAGAGGCGGAGGACACCCTGGACAGGTCTCCAGTCCATCACAGGGACACAGAGACAAACAACAATTCACTCTCTCACTCACACCTACAGACAATTTAGAGCCACCAATCAGTCTAACATACATGTTTTTGGTCTGTGGGAGGAAACTGGAGTACCTGGAGAAAACCCACACATGCGCAGAGAGAACATGCAAACTTCACCCAGAAAGGCCCCGGAAAGGAATTTGAACCATCAACCTTCTCACTGAGAGGCAACAGCTCTACCAACTGAGCCACCGCAGGTACTTTCTCCCTAACATGATATTTCTTCTTCAAGTTATTCTCTATAACACCATCAGCTGGACTTTTCAAATCTTAGGACAAAACCTTGGTGTATGTGACAGACAGCTACATTATTCAAACACTGATGTAGCGCTAAGCTAGCAGCGTGCAATACAGATGTGCTAGCTAAGATACTACGCTAATGACGTAGCACTCAGCTTCTTTCACGCATCCTAACACTACCATCCCCCCCAACCCCCAACTGCCGGTACTTACGAGCTAGCGGAAGCTTTGATGTGAGTTAGCTAGCAAGAGCTAAAAGAATTAGCTTTAAAAAAAAGTGAGGATCATTGTATGCATAACATTTTAGTGCGACAACAGACTTTAATATTCAAGAGTGAATTTGGTGAAACTCACGTTGATGTTTTCAGCGTCCACACTGGCTCCAGCCTCCAACAGGATGTGGGCAGCATCCACATTTCCTGCGAGTACTGCGCAGTGCAACGGAGTGTTCCTGTTCACTTTGTCCACAGCGCTCACAGAGGCGTTATTTTTGATCAGAAAGTTTGTGGGCTCGGGACTAAGACAAAAAACAACAACATCTAATTATATTTGAACCAAGAAGTCGTGAATTGAAATTTTCATCACAATAACCAAGATTTTCATATTTAAGGATGTTCAAACTTCACATTTACGCCTTAGCAACATTCTTTAGACTCTGTGCTCTAAAACCAAATGTTAAAAGAACTCTGACCCAATAATTTTCTGGGCTGCCAACATCAGCGGTGTCTGTCCGGTAGAGTCCGGCAAGTCAACTTCCTGAACACAACCATACAACAAGAGAAGAATTTTAGTTGAACAACAAAAAAAGCACATTTGTAAGAGAAAAAGCTGACGTGTACAAAGTCTGACCTCTCCTTTCGCCATGAGATAAGCTGCTATGGCCATGTGTTGGAAGAGGATGGCCAGGTGGAGCGCTCGGTAACCCTCACCGTCTGTGATGGAGGGGTCTGCTCCATATCTCATCAGCTGGATCACCATGGTGAGGTGGCCTTGTCTGATCAACGGTTCACAAAACAAACAAAAAGGCAATTTTAAGTAAAAGCAAATGAACACCATCAAGCAGCTGTGTGGTGAACTGACCAAAATGTGGAAGCCCAGTGTCAGAAACAAGTTATGAAATCATTTATATTTATTATCAAATTATTAAGTGTCGTTTCATTTTCACAGATGATGTGACGGTTTGTGAATCAGAAGGAAACACTTGAAACTAAAGTCAGTCCCAACCTGATGGCCCAGTGAAGAGGAGTGGAGTTGAGGTCTCCTCCGAGCTGGTCAATGGTCGCCCCTTTGAAAATATAATACCTGAGAGAGGAAAAGTCATCAACTTTATGACCACAGCTCAAAACCACAGTTGCCAAGTCCTCTTATGATAAGGGACTTTGGGTTGGTTTTTTCTAAATTCGCTTGCAAATCTTGTGAGTCGTGGGTTGTGTTTGGGCTTGTATTGAACGTGAAGTTGCTTGTTTGGGCTCGACTTTCTTTTTGAGTGAAACTAGTTGATTATCTCCCAGCTCTGCACAATAAAACAAAAGACGAGTGGTAGTAGGTAGTTTGTCCCTTCTACGCCCTGTTTCCTGTTTATTGCTCCCGCCAGGCGACAGGTGCACACACAGACATATACAAATTATCTGTGGGTGTGCACCCCAAACACTCATACTGCGGACGACCACTAGGGGGCTCCACTCACACGCAGACATCAGGATGTTTTGTTTGTAAAAATATGTAGAAAAAAAATTATATATGCAAAATGTTTTTTTTTTTATCAGAGTTTTAAAGTATGTTATTCAAAGTGTTTATCATAATTTTGCTGTTGTTTATGTGTAATGCCATAATACATGTGTTTACACTGTTTAAAAACGGCCTCTGTTTTACACAATGTGATGGGTTGCCAGTTGGGCTGTTTTCATAAAGCTGGTTGCTTGTTTCTATCGCGAGATCTGGCAACACTGATCGAAACATTGTGGATTTCAGGTTCATTTTGGACTTTTTAGTTTTCCTTTTTTTCACCTTGTGATGAAACTTGCATGAAGCTCATCTAGCATCATTCTTTTTCTTTATCTTTAACAAACTTTTGTGAGCACAAAACGATTTGTTAACAGTTTGCAAGCTCAATCATCCAGGTAGATCACAAAAAAAAAGGTTAAATCGTCATCTGGACCAGTTTCTTTAAGTGAGAAACATTTCGTTCCCCATCCAGAGGACTTCCTCAGTCTACAGCCTGCCAACCAGATCTGTCCCATAGGTAGCCTTCACTAGCTAGGTTTACATGCGCAACATTTTTTGACCGGATTGAAATGTTTTCAGATTAAATAATTCAAATGTGTTGTTTACATGGGCACAATCTGTTCATGACGAGCGTTTCCATGCAGCGGGCTTTGTTCTGAACAGCAGTACTGACATGCGCAGAGTGCTAAACTCCTTAAAAAAAACACAGAAGAAGTTCTACTTCCGGGGTGAACGTAAACAAACCTGAGCGCCTAAAATGGACCCGCGACAGGTTTTAATGATGGTGGAGACGTTACTGCGCTCCCTGACTGAGCTACAGGTGATACAGATCATTTTGAGCTCTTTCAAAGTTTCTAGTAGAAATGTTGTCGTTCACAGACCAGTTTTGCTTCCCCGACATGCTAATATTATTAGCATTAGCCAGGCGGAAATGACAAAGTCACACATGCGCAGTCCGATCAGTTTTTCCACAATCAGATACAAATGAACAAATGAAGTGTTCACATGGACACCATTCAGGTTATGAATCGACGTAAACCACCCGTTTCGTTCTGATCACAAATTATATCGGATCACGCCGAATACACAAAAAATAACCCGAACAGGGTGTTTACATGACGCGTTTTTGTTCCGAACGGCTGTTTGATCCGGTTACTTATGTCCATGTAAACATAGCTACTCTTGTGTTTCAATCCGTCGTCGTGTTGGAATCTCAGAAGAAAACTTTCAACAAGTGCAGAACACTAACAAATCAATCAATCATCGTGTACAACAATCAAATGTCCTAGGCCAGGTGGCCACCTTACAAGGATGGGGGACGAAACGTTTCTCAATTAAAGAAACTGGTCCAGATGACACGATTTAACCGATTTTGTTGATTTGTTAACATTTTTAAAATAAATAAAGTAGAAATTGGGCTAATATAAACCAAAAATAAGGTGGTTGAGCTTTGTCAAATGAAGAAATGCAATACAAGATTTCAGAAATCAGCAGCTTGTTTTTTTTTTCTTCTAATATTACCATTTTGGAAAAAGGTAATTTGAAATAAAAAGCTAATTGCAGTTACAAAAACTTGTTTTAGCTGGTTTTCCTTACACAGATTGTTTATTTAAAATCGTAAAAAAAAAATAAAAAAGGCCACTGCATATTTATATTCATTAGTTAACAAAGAAAGGACAGACTAATGAAGCAGTCCAGTATATTTTTACTGTTCAAACAAACCACAGATTTAATTGTTTATTTTAGATAAAGAAATAAATTATTAAATAATGTTTCAACTTATGGACAAAATTTCTCGGTGCAGCCAGGGGGCGCAGGGATTCCAGTTCGGTGGCCTCAGGATTCCATCTCTGTTCTTTGCAGATGATGTGGTCCTGTTGGCGTCATCGTGCTGTGATCTTCAGCTCTCACTGGAGCGGTTCACAGGTGAGAGTGAAGCAGCTGGGATGTGAACCAGCACCTCCAATCCTCAAGTGGAAAAGGGTGGATTGATCTCTTCAGGTCGAGGGTGAGGTTCTGCCTCAAGTGGAGGAGTTCAAGTATCTTGGGGTTTTGTTCACAAGTGAGGAAAGAATGGGGCGCGAGATTGACAGATGGATTGGTGCAGCGTCTGCATTATTGCGGACTCTGTACCGGTCCGTTGTGGTGAAGAGGGAGCTGGGCTGTAAGGCAAAGCTCTCTGTTTACTGGTCAGTCTACGTTCCCACCCTCACCTGTGGTCATGAACTCTGGGTAGTGACAGAAAGAATGAGATCTTGGATACAGACGGTTGAAATGAGTTTCCTCTGCAGCGTAGCTGGACTCTCCCTTAGAGACAGGGTGAGAGGTTTAGTTATCAGGAGAGATTCAGAGTAGAACCACTGCTCCTCCACATCGAGAGGAGCCAGTTGAGGTGGTTCGGGCAGTTGGTAAGGATGCCCCCTGGGCACCTCCTTAGGGAGGTGCTTCAGGCATGTCCAACTGGGAGGAGACCCTGAGAAAACCCAGGACACACTGGAGAGACTATGTGTCTCTCAGTTGGACTGGGAATGCCTTGGGGTACCCCAGAAGAGCTGGAAGATGCGGCTGTGGAAAGAGATATCTGGGCCTCCCTGGTCAAGATGCTGCCCACACGACCCAACTTTGGAACGGGCGGACAGACGGATCATTTTAAAAAGAGCATCTGAACGGATCAGTCTAGGAACAAATTGTCATAAAACTAGAAATGATGTATCAAATTGCTGGTGACTTGACAAAAAACTTTACAACATCGGGCCGAATGCGTCCCCACAAGGACAGAAGGGAAGGAAAAGGAACTGAAACACGTTCAAGAAGCTCTTCTAACATGTGGATATCCTAACTGGGCTTTTGTCAAGTCAGCGAGGAAATCTACAAAACACACCAATAAACTGAAAAAGGAGAACAACAGACGTAAAAACATTGTCATCCCTTATGTTGCTGGAGTATCAGAGAAATTCAGAAGGATCTTCAACAAACACAACATCCCAGTACATTTCAAACCCAGCAGGACTCTCAGACAGAGGCTGGTCCACCCTAAGGACAAGACACCCATACACAAACAGAGTGGTGTAGTGTATGCGGTCCAGTGCAGCGAGGACTGTCCAGACCTCTACATTGGAGAAACTAAACAAGCTCTTCACAGACGCATGACTCAACACAGGAGAGCCACCTCCACAGGACAAGACTCAGCTGTTCACCTCCATCTCACAGATAAGGGACACTCTTTTGAGGACCAAAATGTGCACATTTTGGACCGAGAACACAGATGGTTTGAGAGGGTGGTGAAGGAAGCAATTTATGTAAAAAGAGAAAAACCATCTCTTAACAGAGGAGGAGGCCTCAGATTTCCACTTTCAAAAACATATAATGCAACTTTAAAACAGATTCCCAATCAGTTTTCACACCTGATAGGAACAGAGGGGCCTCGTCTGTGAATTAGAGGAACAAAGACCTACTGTTTTAGGTTTTAGGTGTGAACTGCCAATCTACATATATGTGTGTGTGTGTGTGTGTGTCTTATGTGTGTGTGTGTCTTATCTCACTCAGCCTTATAACCTGTATCTTTCACTCTCTGCTCTTTGAATTGAGAAAGCTCCTCGGATGAGGAGCGAAACGTCTTCTGTTACTAATAAAGTCCAGTTGTTTTTGTATTGAACGCTTTTTGGATGTATCAAATTCAACACAAAGAATAGTGAAAATAATGTCTTCATTGTAAACGGCTTTATTTTGAATTAAAGTAGAACTTCACCCATTCTGAACAAGTAAACTAAAAGAGTGGGCATACAAAAAGATAAACAGATGAAGCCGTGTTTGTCTACACGTACAGACTGTGATGTTTTGTCAAAGGGAATAACAAATAAATGTTTCATTATAAGGGATAAGGAACTCTTACTTGACCAGCTCTGAGCGGTTGTTGATGGCCGCCCAGTGGAGAAGAGTGACGTTCTCCTTATCTGGCTGCCTGACGTCATATCCTGCTTCCACCAGCTCCTTACAGCGCTCAAGAATCCCAAACCTGAAAATATCACACAGAGAAAACAGAAGCTCATCACTCTCATTACTTAAAGCTTTAACCTTCAGGTCAGTACAACAGTACAAGACGGGATCCTTGGTTCATGGGGACGAGACAGGTTTTTAACTATATTTTGAAGAAAAAAGCTTTTGCCTCAAACTCAACAGTAGTTCAGTCTAAACCGAGTCTCTTCAGATCATAGAACGATGCTTCAGACAGGCCCACCTCGTTACACTACAGCCCACAGTTAAAAACCCTGATCAGGGGTCAACATTTTAAACTTTTTTAATTTATAGATATTTTTTCATCACATGAACAATTAATGCCATCATATTTATACAGAAATATTACATTAACTTTTAATTGCATAGTGTTAGTCAAAACAGACTGCTGTAATTAATATATTCTTGATTTCCTTACAAGCCACTTTTTATGATTCATCAAAAACCTCTTAATGATGAAAACGTAAACAGCTACAAACATTTCAACTTTAAATTCCAGCAGAAAACATGAAATAATGAAAAAATGGATCCAGGCAGACTCTGTACTGTGAGGAGCTCTGACAGGAGGCTGAGAGAGTCGTGGAAACTCAGGACATCACATTGAAACTTCTGTGAGGTTTTTTTACACGACTGATTACATTTCTCACACTGATGAACACAAAAATAATGTGTGTGTGTGTGAGTGTGTGAGTGAGTGGGGAGTCTAGTTAGACACAACTTTTCCTCTTAACTCAGACACACGTGCGGGCTGGATTTTATTTGATAGCTTCAAGGCTGACTACTCACCATGTGGTCAGGTCGTTGTGTTTTAAACAACTACATTTTTATAGACACTAATGCAAACGCTTAAAGTCAGCCCTTTGTCAGCAACAGCACCACCAGCCTGATCAAGAAAGCTCATCAGAGACTCTACTTCCTCAGACGGCTGAGGCGAGCTGGTCTGGGAAGCTCAGTCCTCACCTCCTTCTACAGGTGTGCAGTGGAGAGCATCCTGTGCTCGAGCATCAATGTGTGGCATGGAGGCTGCACAGCTGCAGAAAGAAAAGCTTTGCAGAGAGTGGTGAAGGCTGCACAGAAATCTGTCGGAATCAGTCTTCCCACCATCACAGACATCTACACCTCCAGATGCAGGAAGAGGGCCACCTGCATCATGAAGGACCCCACTCACCCAGCACACACACTTTTTGCCCCACTCCCCTCAGGAAGGAGGTTAAGGAGCATTAAGTGTAGAACCACTAGACTGAGGAACAGCTTCTACCCTGAGGCTGTTAGACTCATGAATCTCTAACTAGAATAATCACTGTGAAAAACCACATCATGTTGCTGCTGATCTGTTTCATGTTGCTGCTGATCTGTTTCAATGTTGATGTGTTCATGCGTGCACATCTGCTCACAGACTCATGTTCATGTTTGTGCTGATGTTCAATGTTTTTATGTTATGAGTGCTTAGTGTATATTTAGTTGATGTTTTTCTTATACATTTTATTGTCGGATGTAACTGGGACCCTGTGTACATAATTTCGCTCCACCACATGTACCACATGAGGTGCGAACGACAATAAAGAAACTCTGACTCTGACTCTGTGATGCTTTGTGCTCTGGATTTCCTTGTGTCACGTGCGCTGTAGTATGGTTTATTTTTTGTTCTGGTTGATTTTAACGTTTTGTGCGTCCACTGCACACCCACGCTACGGGTTTGACCACATGCACTTTTTGAGTTTTGTGTGTCGCTGCCTTGCCATCGTGGTTCAGTTCCTGGCCCTCTTCCTGTCTCAGGCTCAGGCCTGTCATGGCGGTCGTCTCCATGATCTTCAAACTGCCTGCACAGACCAAACTCTACGGACCAGACCCAGACTGGTTTGGGAACTCTAGGGAACAGTTTGGTTCTGCAGGAAAACTTTGGATGTTCTGACCCTGTTCTAGAGGGCAGTCATTGTCCGTGACTGAAGTCATTATCATCATCTTGCTGCTAACAGTACCACTCTGCTAACAGGACCACACTGCTAACAGTACCGCTCTGCTAACAGTACCGCTCTGCTAACAGTACC